TGTGTCCCATTGCAGGTGTGTTGTGTGAGTGAATTGCTATTGAAGGGGAGGATACAGCTGTTCGGTTACAAGTGCACCAGTTTCACGCTTCATCTGCAGCCAATTCACATTTCATCTGCAACCACTTAACTTCTGAGTAAACATTTTGGCAAACATTGGATCTCCAACCAAAACATGAGATGCCTAAATGGACCAAATTGGATTATGAGGAAGTAGGTTTGAAGCCGGCAACCCTTCTTGCCTTGTTGTTTTTGATGAATTATCGTTAACTATGGTGTCCTGCTCTGACGATGTCCGCAACATGAAGGATCTCAGGGCGGTGGGCTGAGGACCTATTCGCATAAATATACAACTACACCTCCAAAGCAACCCCTCACAGCCTCCGGTTGAACTAATTAACGAATCCCTTCCATTCGCCTCTTCAAATGAAATGAAAGGTACTGCAACATCTGTTAAGAGAGTTTTTCTAAAATAATTTCAGTATTTGAAAATAATAAAAAAGTAAATGTGGGCTAACCTCATTTTCGCAACTTGGTCCTGTTATTAGATAATCCGATTTGCACGCACCTTGTCCGAAGTCCTCTGCTATGGTAAATAGCATAATTCTCAACGTGGGTCCATGAATTTGGTACATTCCCAGACGTTTTGCCGGCATCGTCAGTCAGTCTTGCCATTCTCAGCATCAAGCTAAAACTCGGCAGAGACAAGTGAAGTCAATCCCCTGATCAACCTTCTGTCAAAAGGTAATGCTTGTCCCTATGTATAAGCACGAGTTGTAGCTTGGTGCTTGGAAATACTCACTGACGATGTCGACTACTGTCGGTGAAACGTCTGGGAATATACAAAATCCACGGTCAAACGCGTCCAAATAAGTCGCCCTGACTACACGATCAAGTTCTGAAAGCGAGGTCAGCCCAAAGGACTGAGATCATACCAAAGGCCACACCACCTTAATTCTCATATCTTTGATTAAAAATAAAATTAGAGGATTTTACTTAGTTTTCAAAGGGACCGTGGGGAAAATATTAATGATTTGTTAAAGATTTAAATAATTCTTAGAACTAAGCTTCATCAAATAATAGATGATTAGCAGTGTCATCAAAAGTTAATTAATAAGCAATCCATCGAACTGATCTTCAGCAGACTGCTAGGACAACCACATTATAGCATAGCAAGGCGAGAAAACAAAGTGCACATAGGCAAAATAGCATCACAAACCAGCTTAAATAAGAAAAAATAGAGTAAAAATCTGAATCACATGCTAACAAAGGGAAATATGTCCAACAAAATCACTATAATATTCTAGTAAAGTAAAGCACTCAAAATGTCATCATTTTCTTCATGGGGAATGAAGCGTTAAGTGACTGAACAGCTTCCAAAATATTTTGCAAAAGAACTGACTTACCAGATTGGCCAAGACCATACTGTGTAGGGAATATAAGCTCAGACCCAGAGGGTAGGAGACATACTTTGGGGCGCGACATAGACGACGATTCCTGCCATTCATAGCTATCATAGATACCGGCAGCTCTATTAGTCACATCGGTAATACAAGCCTCGCCCACACCTCTTTTCAGACAGCGCGCTGCTGGAGTAGAGCTATCCAGATGTTGATCTGTAGTCTCTCGGCTAGCTAAAAGCTCTGAAGACTTTCGTATGAAGGGTAATTGTGTTGAAACAGTAGCATTATCGAAAGTCTCCGAGCCAGCATTAGCGATCTTATGATAATGTTGAAGATGGTTAGATGAAGCTAAAGCCGACATTATTGTCTTTTCCTCTGTTGGCGGTAAGTTGGACGAGGTGGGACTGCTACTAATGCTGGCATCGCTGCTACAACTTGCTGTGTTAGTTACTCTCGCTACCGTACTTGTGCATTCTACTAGGCTAGAAGCTTGAGTATGATCATCGAGATCTTCAACGAGTGTGCTAGGAATCAAACGAATGCTATGTACACCTTGCTCCGGAGGACCAGAATCTGTGCATTGAGCTACTGAAGAATTGGCCGACAGCCAAGACAGTTGATTTCGATTACTGGTCGGAATGTTGTCAGAGTAAGCTGGCGCTGAGGGTTCAAACTGACCGGCTGATGAGGCGGTGTAGATTATAAGAGAAAGTGGAGGTATTGCGCGCAACTGCTGAATAAGCGCCTGACGCCAGTCGCTGGCACGAAATCCTGAACCATTGCAAAATTCAGCTGAGAAGAGGCATAACGAATGAAGAAATATTGTTCATTGTTGATAAATAGCTATGACCGCATGCGAAATTTAAAAGGCGATTAATTCAATAC